CGACATAAATAGTGAGAAGTGGATGTTACATTGTACAGTGGCATTTAAATTGTCAAACACCAAGCTGTCACCGGTGACCGCAACCTATTGTTCTATAATTGTGTCTATAATGACGGTACTCGACGAGTTAAGTGCCATAATGTGGACCTCTGCCTACTCCTTCGGGGATAAAATGTATGTAATATGTATGTTTGTTACTTAATCATGTCAAAACGGTTGAAGGGAACGGGATGGAATTTGGAACAGTGGTAGATTGTGGTCTGGTAAGTACACCACATAGATCAACTGAAGATACAAGTGTGGGAGAGCCATGCTTCGGCACGAATGGTCGGCTCGACCGGAGTGATACCACGGCCGAGAAGAAAACCGACGTGAAGCAACGCTTGCGTTGTGTTTCGTTGAATGAGTGAGGTTGCCGGAGACCCAATTACACCCCTTCCCCAATCTCCCCAATTCCTAAATCCCCAATGATCCTCAAACTCCTAATCCCCAAAAGGGCGGTAACGCTAACGCCTCTAGTGTTCCAGGTGTCCATGGGCGACGCCGATTGCTTACCATTAGGTGATCCGTCTGTTCGTTTACCGGCTTATACCATAAAAAAACTATCAAAGAGTGTAAGCAGATAGCGCCGCAGCTTGAGCGCACTCGGGTCACGGCATTTAACCTGAGCTCTGGCCTTTTTGCGCCGTCTTCACTGTTTTTACTTTTTTTGTGCATATAAACCATTTTTCTCTATTTCTTTCTTCCTCAGAGGGGTATATATACCAATAAAAGACATGTAATAAAAAAAGATCAGTATGTTTTGTTTATTATAGCGTGACAAGTTGTCGTCGCTTGGCGGCGAGGTCGGCGGCGGTGAGCATGCGCGTGCGCACGTTCTGCATCGCGGCCGTGTACACGTGGCGCCCGCCGACACTGGCGCGGGACGACGACGGACTGGAAGCATGTCGCTAGGTTAAATGAGATACGCATTGGCTACTTATGATATGAGTACCATGTAATCTATACAGGTGAATAAAATAGCAGAGTCTGTTTGTAATATTAAATTAACCGCTTTTTACTACGTGCATATGAATATACTTACAATCTCCATTCGAATCTACATTTTCGAATGAGCACCTAGCTTCACTGACGGTCTGACTGACAGACTATTATTTATTTTGTACTTGTTGACGTTTCAAAAGTACCAAATTATGGTTTTATTCAAAAAACGCCTTGGCTTTGACTTTGACTTTTATACACATACCAAAATAACATGTTTACAATTTTTGTCTGTCTATTTGTTTGTACTCGCTAATCTCTGGAATGGCTGGACCGATTATGCAAGACTTTTATTGGCAGGTAGCTGATGTACTAAGGAGTAACATAAGCTACTTTTATTGAAACAAAAAATGTTGTCTTAAAACTCATATTCCACGCGGACGAAGTTATACATACATCCATAACCTCACGCCTTTGTCCCATGGGGG